TAAAGGTTTAGGGTTTAGAGTTCAGGGTCTAGGGTCTAGGGTTTAGCATACCCATATCCGTACTTACCAGGCGATCCTCTAAGTGCCAGACAGGCTTTGGGCGAGGTTGAGAGGTTTCAATCGAAAGCCAAGGGTAAGGCTGTACTGTCGAGGGGTCAGGGCTCAGGCGCCAGAACCTGCGCCCAGAAATCCGATCTTCACCATCCCTTGATAAAAAAAACGTTCGATTGTATAGCAAGCTAAACCCTAAGCCCTAAACCTAAAACCTAAACCACCCTAAACTCTAGTCCATAAAGAAGCAAGCCTTAGCCACTCTAAACCCAAAGCCAAAACCTAAACCAGCGTAAGCCCCAAAACCTACGAGACCCTCCCCCCTAAACCCCACCTGAATCCTAGGAAACCTACCGGTTAGGCTCTCCCTATACAGGTCCCAAACAAGGTAAGGCTTCCCCGGGTCCAGGTAAACCCTAAAGCCTAAAGCCCTAAAGCCCAAAACCCTAAACCCTAAAACCCTAAGCCCTAAACCCTCAAACCCTAAAGCCTGAACCCTAAATCCTAAAACCCAAGCCTTACCTTAAAACCGTAAACCCTCAAACCCTGAACCCTGAACCCTAAGCAACTTCACTGACAGATGGGCCTCTGTGCTCTTCGGGGACCTGGAGAAATCGACCCCGGAGCGAGCCGGGATAGGGCTATTTAGGGTTGAGGGTTCAGGGCTATTAGGGTTTAGGGTTTTAGGGTTTAAGGTTTAGGGTTCAGGGTTATTAGGCTTTAGGGTTTTAGGGTTAGGGTTTTTAGGGTCTAGGGTTTTAAGGTTTAGGGTTTAGGGTTTAGGGTTCAGGGTTCAGGACTATTAGGGTTTACGGTTTTCGGGTTTGGGGTTTGGGGTGTTGGGTTTCGGGTTTAGGGTTTAGGGCCATTGGGGTTCAGAGTTTACAGGGTTTTGGGCTCAAGGCTTCAAGTTTAGTGTTTAAGGTTTGGGATTTGAGGTTTAGGATTTGCGGCCTAAAGTCTAACATGGGGGCTTCAATAATAAAAGAAGGGTTTTGGGGCTAAGGAACCCCTAAAAATGGTATTCGTACTTATCTAGGCCCCTACATTAGGGGTTAAGGGGCCGGGGTGTTTTTTGAGAGTCCGCATGCAGCCTTCGAGCTTCGGATCGGGCCGAGGAGCCAAAGGTACAACTTAAGCGCAAGTTTCGGGGCTTAAGGTTGAGGCTTTAGGGTTTCGGGTTTAGGGTTTAGGCTTTAGGGTTTATTGTTTAGGGTTTAGGTAGGTGCAAACAAAGGTTACTCGATTTGGTTTAGGAGCTGCCGTGTTTCCAAACGCACCGTATGTTTCTGTGTCCCTGGAGAGATGGGGTTGCTGTTTCAGGATAGGAAGCATTTTTGGTGTAAGCCCTTAAACCCTAAACCCTGAACACATTAGATCTAAACCTTAAGCCGCAAACCTTACCCCTATACCCGAAGCCCGAAGCGCCAAACCCTAAACCCCAAACCCTACCGCTAAACCCTAAACCCGAAGCCCCAAGCCCTAAATCCCAAACCCCGGACCCGAAGCCCTAAACCCGAAGCCCTAAACCCTCAACCCCAAAACTCTACCCCTCGAGACTAAACCTGAAGCCCTAAACTCCAAACCCCAAACCCCAAAACTCTAACCCTCAATCCTAAACCCGAAGCCCTGCATCCTAAACTCCAAAACCCAACTTCTCAAGACTAAACCCGAAGCCCTAAACCCCAAACCCCAAAGCCTACCCCCAAACCCTAAACCCGATTCCCTAAACCCCAAACCCTGATTCCCAGCATTTCTCCTCAGGACTTCCGCCTCCAACGGATCCGTGAGGGCTGCTCACATCCAGTCGCTCGCTAGCATTGGGTTTTGGGTCTAGAGCTAAGCCCTAAACCCTAAACCTCTCCCCTAAACCAACGTTTAGGGTTTAGGAGACCCCGAACGTGTACTCTAAGAGCTTAGCTGTGCCGGGGTTTGCGTCCGAGGCAAAGCGAGAGAAAGCTTCTGTGCTGCCCACATCCGTGCATCTGGGCTGGAACTTAGATTAGGTGATCTGGTTTCACCTAAACCCTAAAACCGTATTGCAGACCCCGAACCATTGTCCGCTAAGTTCATGAAGCCCCTTAAACGCTAAACCCTAACCCTAACCGGGCCCTAACCCTGAACCCTAAACCATCAAGCCTTAGAAGTCTACCTTCCACCTTACATTTGCATAGAATCCTTTCCGCCACAGCCCCCTTCAAAGCTCCACAACTTTAGGGTTTAGGGTTTAGGGCTTAGGGTTGTGTGCACGTTCTTGAGCGGAACGGAGCTACGACGTGACCTGCAAAAAACCTGTGTCGAAAAAGCTGTGGTGGATGTAACGATACGGGAAGCCGCTGCAGAACCTTTGAAAGGACGCAGGAGCCTGAGCAGAAGCCTCACAGCAAAACATGATAGAGTTCACACCCAAGAAACCCGAAACCTAAACCCCTTAACCCCTAAACCCTAAACCCTGGTTTAGGGTGTAGGGCTTTGAGGTTCATGGTGCATGGCCTTTGCCATGTTCGGGTTCAGGAATGGTGCAGGCTTCGGAGCGAAACACAGGCCCGCCCCCCCTCATTTAGGGTTTGGGGTTTAGGGTTTAGGGTCTTGGGTTTAGGTTTAGGGTAAAACAACCAAAAGGCCAGAATACAGGGGTCTTACTCCTTTCCTTCTGCTCCCTATAGCTACGCCTTGATAATATTCCCCCCCCACGTGCACGAGATCGATCTCACAGTTCAGGGTTTCTGAAATCCCGCGTGCAAGAGGGCCCCTCAGGCCTGGCACGTAATGTAGGGGCCTAAATACTTACTTATATTATTTTGGAGGTTCCTTATTATAATCATAGTATAATGGGCCCCCAAAACCTATTCTCATGATTAAGGCCCCTACATTAGGTCGGTAAGTTACCGCGCTCTTTTTGTGCAGGTTTTGCGGCTTGGAGGCTTTCGGACTTTACTTAACTTTACTTAAGGGGTGTGGGGGGGGGTGGGTGCGGGGGGGGGAAGGCTGATTTCGTTCTGGAGCCGCCAGCTTTGTTTGAAGAATGGGCTTTGAACCCACGCCTGCCAGCAAAAGTCAAGACAGTGCTCGGGTTTGGAGAGGCCAGGATTATAAGGAAGGAAAGAATGGGCTTTGAACCCATGCTGCCAGCAAAAGTCAAGACAGAGCAGACATGCCTCTGAGAATGACATCCAGGAGCTGTGTAGACAAAATTTGCGACGCCCTAAGTTTCAAGCCTACATGGTCCCTGAAAGTCATTTTCACAAGCACATCTGCACTTTCTTGACTTTTGCTGGCTTGCGAAAACGCCTGTGGTAACTTACCAACGTGTGAACCCCTTAGCGCTTCCAGGGCTTAAGGTTGCGGGTGTACTATAGGGCCTGAACAAGTACCTATACTATTTTTAAGGTTCCTTATTAAGACTACAGTAGAATATACCACAAAACCTTAATTCTCATCATTGAGGCCCCTACATTTACCTCTATACGGACCATAAAGCTGGGCTCAACCGTTGCATTCGCTCAGGAAGTGTCAGGAGACGTGCCTTTGCTGCCTGGACGACTTTGACACTCAGCTACATGTGGTAGGGTTTATATAGGGGCCTTGGTGTAGAATAGGGGCTTTAACCATCAGCATAGTAATTTATAGGGTTCCTCCTTGCTTCTTTTTGCTACAATACATCCCAAGATCTTATCTGCACTTCTTCAGCCCGCTATTTTCTGATGGGCTCCTTAGCACAATGGGAGTTGGTGAATAGGGTTTAGGGTTCAAGGCTTGGGAGTTGATAAACAGGGCTAGTAGCACGGTAACTATACTTAGAATCCGTGACTTATAACACTATACTTAGGATCCGGGACTTATAACACCAAGTAAGGTATTTCAACAATTACTTACCAAATCCCCTTGACCTCCTCTAAGGACTTCGCTGGTCTATGGCCCCTAGCACCTTCAAAGCTTCCTTGGGCTCATGTGGGTTTAGGACTTAGAGATCCCTAAACCCTAAACCC